TTGGCCTGCTGATACGTGCTTTCTGGGTTCACTCCATCTTGAAGCCCTCCAGCAGACAGATCACAATGAGGGCGTGTCCCGTATTTATTTCTTCTACCCTCACCCCACCCACCCACCATCCCTCCACTCCCCCCACTTAGCACACATTTATACACCCAGATGTCCGACTTCTCCATCCATCATTGATCCAGCTACATGCCTGTCCATCCACCCACCCGTGCACACATCTTTGTGCCCACTTGCCCATCCATGGCTGCTTCCAACTCTCCCAGCAAGTGCTCTCCCGCACCAGTCCTGTGCCGGTCCTGTGCTAGGGTCACGGGGCATGCAGAGATTAAAATGAATTAAGTTTACAATGTTCAAGAAAATCTTGGTCTAAGTCTGTATTCACTCCAGGTCACCTTCCAGGTGACTATTTGTTGAGCTCCTCCTATCAGTCAGGTGTTTCAGGCACTGGGCACAGATAGACACTGTTACTCTACCCCCTCCCACTTTACAGACGAAGAAACTGAGGCTCAGAGGTTATAGTGCAGTGGTTCTCAACCTTCTTAATGCTGCGACCCTTTAATACAGTTCCTCATGTTGTGGTGACCCCCAACCATAAACTTATTTTTGTTGCTACTTCATAACTGTAATTTTGCTACTGTTATGAATCGTAATGTAAATATCTGATATGCAGGATGTATTTTCATTGTTACAAATTGAACATAATTAAAGCATAGTGATTAATCACAAAAACAATATGTAATTATATATGTGTTTTCTGATGGTCTTAGGCGACCCCTGTGAAAGGGTCGTTCGATCCCCAAAGGGGTCGCAGCCCACAGGTTGAGAACCGATGTTTTAAGGGCTACTAGCACTTGTTTTGAGGAAATTTTAAAATAAATTTTAGCAATTCTGCAAATTTTAAATAAAATTATATTTCTTTTAAATTTAATAAGTATATAGAATTACTGGTATGTGCATAAATGTACACATGGCTGCTAAATGTCAGTTTCTCCTTCCCCTCTGGCACTTAATTTAGATCATAAGGAGGCTTCTTCCCATGCATTCTCCAATCCAGGCATCTACCAGGTGGTTGCTCCATTGAACACACCATCTTGCTAGCCACTCCCAGGAACTCTGAGGTCCTCTTTCCTCCACTGCTGGTCCCCATCGGGAAACCGTGGACTGTCTTTTCAGGAGAATACTGTTGCTGCCACATATCAAGGGACCCCACACACTTCTTTAGTTGGAATACCACTGCACAAAATTATCTTGATTTATTATATTTTAATGGAAGGATCAAAGGTAATAGAGATGCGGGCTGTTATTAACACAGAAAAATAACCCGGGTAGATGAGGATGTAAAGAAATTGAAACCTTTGTGCACTGCTGGTGGGAATGTAAAATGGTGTAGCTGCTGTGGGCAACAGTTTGGTGGTTCCTTAAAAAAAGTAAACATAGAAGAAAAAGTATAATGATATTACCTTATGATCAAGCAATTTCACTTCTGGGCATACCCCCAAAAGAATTGAAACAGGGACTCAAAGTGATATTTGTATACCCATGTTTATAGCAGCATTATTCACAACTAGTAGCCCTGTGCATGAATCCGTGCACCAGTAGCTCACCAACGCCCTCCGGTAGCTCCCCCCGCCCCCCCCTCATAGCCTTGCTGCCCTGCCCCCTCCTGAAGCTCTCCGCTGCCTGCTTGTAGCTCGCTGCTCAACCTCCTGCTGATCCGTGATCCTGTCGTTATGTGGTCGGTCATTACGTTTCACGGTGTAACGAACATTTGCATATTACATCATTATTATATAGGATAGCCAAAAGTGTAAACAATCAAGTGTCTATAAACAGATGACTGGATAAACAAAATGTGACATATACATGCAATGAATATTATTCAGCCTTAAATGGGGATGAAATTCAGATAGATGCTTCAACATGAGAGTGAAATAAGCCAGGTTCAAAGGAATAAATACTGTATGATTCCATTTATATGAATGATTAGAATAGACAAATTCATAGATTTAGAAAGTAGAACAGAGGTTACCAGGAGCTGAGGGGAGGAGCAATGGGGAGTTAATGGTTGATGGAGACAGAGTTTCTCCTGGAATGTTGAAAAAGTTTTGGAGATGGACAGTGATGATGGTTGTACAACATTGTAAATGTACTAATGCCACTGAACTGTATATCTAAACATGGTAAAATGGTAAATTTTGTCATATACTTTTACTACAACTTTAAAAGAAGAAATGTAAGATGAGAATTTTTCCTGGAGGAGGTGGTTCCCATTGTAGGTGTTCTCTCATTTCTAATCTTCTCCACCAACAAGGCTTGAGCGTTCCCTTTACTCCAAATCCTCACTAACACTTGTTGTTTGTTGATTTATTGATAATAGCCATTCTGACAGGTGTGAGTTTTAATTCTCATTGTGGTTTTAATTTGCATTTCTCTGATGATTTGTCTCATCTGTATGCCTCTCTTTAGAGAAGTATCTATTCAGGTCTTTTGCCCATTTTTAAATAAGTTTGTTTGGAGGGTTTGGGGGTATTAAAATGTATTAGTTCTTTATAAATTTTGGGTTTTAACTCTTTATCAGGTGTATTATTGGTGAATATCTTCTCCCAATTGGTAGGTTCTCTTTGCATTTTGTTGATAGTTTCCTTTGCTGTGCAAAACCTTTTCAGTTTGATGTAGTCCCACTTGTTTATTTTCTCTTTTGTTTCCCTTGCCCGTATATCAGAAAAAAATGTTGCTATGAGAGATGTCTGAGATTTGACTGCCTATGTCCGTGGTAGAGCCGGTATTTTGTGGAAGAGCCACACTCAAGGGGCCAAAGAGCCGCATGTGGCTCGCGAGCCGTGGTTTGCCAAGCCGCAGTTTGCCGACCACTAACCTATGTTTATTTTTTCTTTGAGGAGTTTTATGGTTTCCAGTCTTACATTAAAATCTTTAATCCATTTTGAGTTTATTTTTGTATATAGTGTAAGAAGGTAGTCTAGTTTCATTTTTTTGCATGTAGTTGTCCAATTTTCCCAACACTATTTATTGAATAGACTGTCTTTACTCCATTGTATGTTCTTGCCTCCTTTGCATTGACCATATTAATTGACCATATAGGTGTGGGTTCATTTCTGGGCTCTCTAATCTATATGTCTGTTTTTATACCAGTACCATGCTGTTTTGATGACTGTAGCCTTGAGGTATAGTTTGATAACTGGTAGCATGGTACCTCCAATTTTGTTCTTTCTCAATATTGCTATGGCTGTTTGGGGTCTTTTGTGGATCCATATAAATTTTAGGATTATTTGTTTGAGTTCTGTGAAACATACCATTGATATCTTGATAGGAATTGCACTTAATCTATAGATTGCTTTGGGTAGTATAGACATTTTACCAATGTTAATTTTTCCTATCCATGAGCCCAATATAAGCTTTTATTTATTTGTATTTTCTTCAGTTTCTTTCCTCAATGTCTTAAAATTTTCTGACTATGGGTCTTTTACCTCCTTGGTTAAATTTAATCCTAGATTTTTTAAAATACAATTGTAAATAGGATTGTTTTTTTAATTTCTCTTTCTGATAGTTTGTTATTGATGTGTAAAAATGGAACCAATTTAGGATTATTACTTTGTATTCTGCTACTTTACTGAATTCATTATCAGTTTTAATAGGTTTTTGGTAGAATCTTTAGGCTTTTTTCTTTATAGTATCATGTCATCTGCAAATAATGACCATTTTACTTCTTCCTTTCCAATTTAGATGCTCTTTATTTCTTTTCCTTGTCTGATTGCTGTGGATAGGACTTTAAACCAATTTAGGATTATTACTTTGTATTCTGCTACTTTACTGAATTCATTATCAGTTTTAATAGGTTTTTGGTAGAATCTTTAGGCTTTTTTCTTTATAGTATCATGTCATCTGCAAATAATGACCATTTTACTTCTTCCTTTCCAATTTAGATGCTCTTTATTTCTTTTCCTTGTCTGATTGCTGTGGCTAGGACTTTTAATACTATGTTGAATAAAAGTGGTGAAAGTGAATATTCTTGTCTTGTTCCTGACCTTAAGGGCAACGCTTTTAGCTCTTCACCATTAAGTATGGTGTCATATATGGCCTTTATTATGTTGAGGTATGTTCTCTCTATTTCCACTTTGCTGAGAGTTTTATAGGGTTTTGTTTTGTTTTGAGAATTGAATAGGCCAATGTATGTGAAAGGAATCTGTAATATTATAATTGTATACTCTGTAAAAAGTGAAGTAGGAGTTTGATTTGGCTATCTGTTTAGTTGTTCATTCATTCACATATTTTTTAAGTCTCAGGTACAAATGAAAGAATGAAGCCTTGCTTTGGAAATTCACTCTAGGAAGAGCTAGGAAGCCAGGACTGTGTGACAATTTTTCCTTGGCCCTCCTGTTCAACTCCTCCCTGAAGTCAGCTTTCAAAACCTGAAAAATAAACACAGTTGGAGTGGAATACATGAAGTCCTACAGAATAATAGTGAGGCGCCCAGAGAACAAATAGCTTGTTGGACTGGAAGCCTTTATAAATTTAAGGGCAAGATTTGCAGTGGACAAGCTGCAGATTGCTGTTCTGAACTCCTTCCTAGAAAGGGCTGCTTCACTATGGACTAGGACAGTGATGGCGAACCTTTTGAGCTCGGCGTGTCAGCATTTTGAAAAACCCTAACTTAACTCTGGTGCCATGTCACGTATAGAAATTTTTTGATATTTGCAACCATAGTAAAACAAAGACTTATATTTTTGATATTTATTTTATATATTTAAATGCCATTTAACAAAGAAAAATCAACCAAAAAATGAGTTCGCGTGTCACCTCTGACATGCGTGTCATAGGTTCGCCATCACTGGACTAGGAGATTCTTGTGGGCAGGGCTTTGTCTCCCTGAATTTGAATCCCATTGTCTAGCACCATTCTTGCTCACAGTAAGTCCTTATGGGGTAGAACCAACTTAGCTGCAATGATGAGCATTCTTGGTTTTGGACCTGCAGGTTGGAGCCCTCCCTCGACTGTGTGATGTGCTGCGGGTGCTGCGGGAGGAGCGGGACCAGTGCCTGCAAGAACTCTCTGGAGAGAGGACAGGAGACCATGGCACGGTGCCGCCAGCCCCAGGTGCGTAGCCCACCTTAGTCCACCCCTGACATGAATCGTGTCCAGTTCCACTGTGTCAGGGGAAGCTGGGCCTCTGGACCAGGATGGGGATGTAGGGGCTGGGCCAGCTGTATTCAATTAGGTAATCAGCTCGTGATCAGGGTACACACACCCAAAAGCCAGATTACCACCATTCTTTCTTTCTCTGGGCTTGTGCACATAGCCAAGGTTTTTGTACCATTAACGTCTGCGTGATAACTTCACCAAGTTTGGTAAGAATTCCTTGTCAAGGCATGTACCTCTCATCCATTCTCTCACCTCCAATGCTATTTTGATGAATAAGGTAGTCAGAATGGCAGGGTTAGGTCAGAAAACCCTGGGGTCTCTAGTGTGCGACCATGGACAAATTATTTAACCATCTGGGCCACAGATTCCTGGTCTATAAAGTGGTTGTCTACTTCAGAATTATAATGATTCACGAGAGAAAATATGTTAAATTTATCAATTTAAATATTAATTCTTATTACTAATCAAGACTTTAAATATTATTAATTTGATATTTAAATGTTAATTTTATTTCCAGTCCCTTCCTTAACATATCTTCTTTGCTTTCCCTCATCTAAGGACAAGGAAGGGTTGCATTAAGAAAACAATCCATTACAAATAAAAACTTGTACACGTGTGTTCATAGTAACACTAGCCTAGAGATAGAAACAATCCAAGTGTCTGCCAGCTGATGAATGATAAACAAAATGCGTGTATGTCCAATGGAATATTATTGGGTCTTAAAAAGGAATGAAGTACTGATACATACTACGGCATGGATGAATATTAAAACATGTTAAGTAAAGAAGCCAGTTATAAAAGATCATGTATTATATGTTTCTATTTTTATGATATTTCAACTTTAGGTAAATCTTTAGAGACAGAAATCAGACTTACATTTAAGTATTTAATCCATTTCAAGTTTATTCTTGTGTCTGATGTAAGTTGGTAGTCTAGTTTCATTGTTTTGCGTGTACCTGTCTAATTTTCCCAACATCATTTATTGAAGAGATTGTCTTTATTCCATTGTATGCTCCTGCCTCCTTTGTCAAATATTAATTGACCATAAAGGTGTGGGTTTATTTCTGGGCTCTCTATTCTGTTCCATTGATTTATATGCCTGCTCTTGTGTCAATACCAGGCTGTTTTGGTTATAGTGGCTTTGTAGTGTAGTTTGACATCTGGTATTGTGATTCCTCCAACTTTGTTCTTCTTTCTCAAGATTGTTGAGGCTATTTGGGGTCTTTTTTGATTCCATATAATATTTTTTCTAGATCTGTGAGCTATGCCATTGGTATTTTAATAGGAATTGCACTGAATCTATAGATTGATTTGGGTAATATGGACATTTTAATGATGTCAATTCTTCCAATCCATGAACACAGTATATATCTCCACATATTTGTATCATCCTCAGTTTCGTTCCTCAATATCCTATAATTTTCCAAGTACAGGTCTTTTACCTCCTTGGTTAAATTTACTAGTATTCCTAGGTACTTTATTCTTTGTTGTTGTTGCAATACTAAATAGAATTATTTTCTTAATTTCTCTTTCTGATAGTTCATTATTGGTGTATAAAAATGCCACCAATTTCTGAATATCAATTTTTTTATCCTGCTACTATGGCAAATTCATTTATTAGACCTAGGAATTTTTAGGAGTTTCTTGTACAATATCATGTTATCTGTGAATAATGACAGTTTTACTTCCTCCTTTCCAACATAGTACTGCCAGTACCAAGTTGAATAAGAGTGGTGAAAGAGGACATCCCTGTCTTGTCCTGATCTTAAGGGGAATGCTTTTAGATTTTGCCCATTGAGTATGATGTCGGCTGTGGGTTTGTCATATATGGACTTTATTATGTTGAGGTATGACCCCTCTATCCCTACATTGCTGAGAGTTTTTATCATAAATGGATTTTAATTAAATGCTTTTTTGCATCTATAGACAACATCATGTGATTTTAATTTTTAATTTTGTTTATGTGATGTATCATGTTTATTGATTTGCAAATATTGCACCAACCCAACTTTGTGTCCCAGGAATAAATCCCACTTGATCATAATGTGTGATCTTTTTCATGTATTGCTGAATTCAGTTTGCTAATATTTTGTTGAGGGTTTTTGCATCTATGTTCGTCAGGGACATTGGCCTATAATTTTCTTTCTTTGTAGTGTCTTAATCTGGTTTTGAAATTCAGATAATGTGGGTCTCCTTGTAAAATGAGCTTGGGAGTCTTCCCACTTGAATTTTTTGGAATAGTTTGAGAAGGATAGGTGTTAGTTCTTCTTTGAATGTTTGGTTTGGTAAAATTCACCCATGAAGCCATCTGGTCTAGTCCTTGGATTTCAATTCTCTTGGGTATATACCAAGAAGTAGAATTGCTGGAACCATATCATAATTCTGTTTTAAATTTTTAAGGAACCATCATACTTTTTCCATAGTGGCTGCACCATTTTACATTTTCACCAACAGTGCACAAAGGTTCTAATGTCTCCAGATCTTCACCCACACCTGTTATTTTCTGTGTTTTTTTTTTATAGTAGTCATCCTAATGGGTATGTGACATAGTATCTCATTGTGGTTTTGATCTGCATTTCCCTAATGATTAGTGATGCTGAGCATTTTTTTATGTGCTGTTGTCCATTTGCATATCTTCTTTAAATAAATGTCTATTCAAGTCCTTTGCCCATTTTTAAATAGGGTTGTTCAGTTTTGTGTTGAGTTGTAGGAGTTCTTTATATATTCTGGATATTAGCCCCTTGTAAAATATATGATTCTCATATTGTGTAGATTGCCTTTTTTACTGTGTTGAGCTTCATTCATTTCAGTTACTTCTGATAAAGGAGAATAGAGTTCACTAGCAGCTTTCACACTTTCCAAAGCACCAAACTCATCTTGTTTGTTCAATTATGTCCCAATTTCAGGCAGACTTCAGGAAACATTTCCCAAAGCTTCCTGTGCAAAAATTGCTGATTCCCACTGTTCCAGGACTATTTTCTGTTGCTATCCATTCATGTTTCTCTGTGAATTTACCCACTTAGAGCAGACTGGGGCCAGTGGACAGCATCCAGATGGTGCTCGCCCTCAGGCCCCAGGGCTGGGGGGCAGGAGCAGTGGGCGCTGCCTAGGCGGTGTGCAGGCTGCAGACCACGACCTGCACACTCCGCGCTGCTTGCAGCTCTTTGTTTGCTGGAGTGTGGGGGTCACTGCACAACTCCCTGGCCACCCCAGCCATTGGGGGTGGGGGCGAGTTGGCTCCTTGAATCTGTTTTTTTAATTTCCTTTTCAGGTTGTTTCTCATTATTGTATAGAAATGCAACTGATTTTTGTATGTTGATTTGATATCTATCCTGCAACTTTGCTGAATCCATGTATTAGTTCTAACAGTTTCTTTTGTAGAATATTGAGGGTTTTCTACATATAAGATCATGTCATCTGCAAACAGAGGTAATTTTACTTCTTTCCTTCCAATTCAGATGCCTTTTATTTCTTCTTCTTGCCTAATTGCTATAGCTAGTACTTCCAGTACTTCCAGAAAACAAGTGCCCAAAGCAGGCATTCTTGTCTTGTTCCTGGTCTTACAGGAAAAGCTTTCAGTCTTTTACCCCTGAGTATGATGTTTGCTCTGGGCTTTTCATATGTGGCCTATTCCTAGCTTAAGTTTTGTTTGTTTTTTATTTTTATCATGAAAAGGTATTGAATCTTGTCAAATGCTTTCTCTGCATCTGAGATGATCATGTGATTTTTGTCTTTCATTCTGTTAATATGGTGCATTACATTGAATGATTTTCATATGCTGAATCACTCTTACATTGCAGGAATACTTTTCAATTCAATTCAGTTTTCTAGTATTTTGTTGAGGATTGTTCTATCAATGTTTATCAGTGATATTAGTCTGTAGTTTTCTTTTCTTGTAGACTCTGTGTGGCTTTGGTATAGAGTAATGCTGGTCTCATAGAGTGATTCTGAGAGTGTTTTCTCCTTTTCAGTTTTTTGGAAGAGTTTGAGAAAGATTAGTGCTGCTAATTCTTATGTTTGGTAGAGTTCATTAGTGAAGTCATCTGGGCTTTTCTTTGTTGGAAGATTTTTGTTGTTACAGATTCAACTTCCTTACTGATTAGCAGTCTGCTCAAATTTTCTATTTGTTCATGCTTCCATCTTGGTAAATTGTGTGTTTCTAGGAATTTATCTATTTCGTCTAGGTTGTCCAGTTTGTTGGTATATAGGCCACACATATCTTTTTGCAATACTCTCTCCAAGTCATGACCTTTGTTCTTCAAATTCTTGAGCTGTTGGTTGTCGGGTTTCCCATTGTCCACCACGGCCAGTCTCATGACTCCTTCCCTGACTCCAACCACGGCACTGTGTCAACACTTCCAAGAACTTGGTCACTATGCCCACTGTGCCACTGTGCCTTCCTCCTTTCACCTGCCTCTGCAGAGCCTTGTCCTCTACCTGCTGTCCTGCTTCAGCAGCTCGGGTGAAGACTACTGCCTGACCGGAAATGTGTTGTGGGCTGAAAGGGAGAAAGAGCTTTGATCTCTTATGTGAATTTTACCCCATTTTTAAAAAGAAAGAAAGAGGAAGAGGAGGGTAGAGAAGGGGTTTAGCCCTTTAAATTATACAGGCTGTGTGATCTTGAACAAGTTGCTTGATGTGTCTGGATCTCATCTATTTTATGGGGTTAGTGTGAAATTAAAAGCATTCATTCAAAATATATTTAGTGCTTACTTTTATGAGGTAAGTATGGTGAGAATAAAGGATACAATGGTGAGAAAAAAGGAACATAGACTCAGCCCTTATCACTTAGGAATGTATTTACTGCCTATGACAGATTAGCTTTATCAAACAGGAGCAGATTTTTTGTACTTTACAAAAATCCAGAACTGGTGCAAAGTTCCACGATGTCATCAGATTCCAGATTCCTTCTGTCCTTCTGCTTCATGTGTGGCATTTGCCTAATGGTCAGATAA